AGCCAATAAATGCAACCCAGACGCCCTGAAAGAGGCGAGTTATCACACACAACAGAAAAAGTCAGTCTTTATTGTTTGGTCATTTATGAGAAGAGGGAACTGGAACGTGTTGTGACCATTGGAAAGATCTGTGGAAAGAGAGACAGAGGAAGAGAGCGCGAGAAGATTCTTAAAAGTCTTATGTCATGGCATCGAAGGTGTCAGCACACGATGTGATACAAGCAGTTGTGGATCGCGGATTGTGGAGAAGCATGATCACCCACGTCGGTCGACAAGGCACTTGATAATGATGTGATAAAAGCTAGGAAGACTGCTGTGTCTGTTCACAGTTTAAATGCATTAGTCTATTTTATTCTCGTTTGGGTTCCGAAGCCCCGCTGTGGAGGAAAACGAGAATAGACCCACCGCCTCCTCGAAAAGCATATCGTAACACTCGACTAATTGGAGGCCTCATTCGAAGTTGGGGTGCATCTGACGGAAAGGCAAGAAACCAACAATCTGCATGCAGATAATTCAGATATGGAAAACGGATGTACAAGCAACCCTCGGGTTCTGGAATGAGACAGAGATGGACGAACAACCACAACTTGTCCCTGAAGTTACAGCCTGCGAGCGAGAAGACAAACAAGATAAGACTATTACGTTCCTTTGAGGACGTTACGTGACCTATTCCATAAACTATTGACTTCGCCAAGGAATTTGACCGTGTGTGGCATGCTGGGCTCTGGCAAAAAAACTAGAAATTTCAATTTCGATATAACATCCTAGACATCGTTAAAGCACTTTATAAAGATGCAAGCAGTGCTGTACTCGTTCAAAATGCTAATTTTTCAAAACGAGTGGAAGTGAGACAGGGCTGTACACTATCTCCTGTCCTTTTCTAATTGTATTTGGAACATATCATGGGAGAAACATTATAAAATCATAAAACATCTACACCCATTGGCGGAAGACCACTAGGTAATTTACGTTTTAGCAGACATTTTTCTCATGGCTGGTTTAGAAGCAGAACTGCAAGAACTTACTACACAGTTAGAGACAGTCTGTGGTAAATATGGCATGGAAATTAATGCAGAGAAGAACAACATTTTGGTAAATAGCCACGCTAGAAGAAGGTGAAACCATTAGCTTTCTCGGCTTCTACATACTTGTATGTAACACTGGCAGCAGTACCATAGATAAAGACAAGGCTTGATATGACAACAGCAGCGATTTTGCAGCTGAATACGAAATGGAAGACCAAAGTCAGTATAGTAAGTAGTTAAGGTTAATATATACACTTTCGCTAGTATTGTCTATTTTATTTTATGGATGTGAGTGTATGGCTTTCTCTGTGGAAGTGAAAAGGGAGATTCAGGCTATCGAGTGTAAATGCTATAGACGCATTTTACAAATTATTTATTTGAAAGATAAAACTAAAAAATATATCAGGGACAGAATATACAAATTTGCAGGACACCAGGAGCCTCTCTTGGCAGTGGTGAAACGTTGCAAGCTAGCTTGGTTCGGGCACCTAGTGAGACATGATTCGATTGCAAAGACTACTTCAAGAAGCACTGGCTGGTAGTCGAAGAAGAAAAAGGCAAGCAAGAATCTGGAATTACAACATGAAGAAATTGACAGAACTAAGTTATCATACACATATTCACCAAGCGAAACACAAAAGAAAAATGTGTGCTAGTGGGTCCATCGATACACCTCCACGACCGTCACGGGTCAATGGTTATTTTATGTTTATGATTAGAGTCTTCTGGATTGTGTCCTTGATAGGAAGTATTCCAGCAGTTTCTAGAGGCTGCTTGATGTTTTTTATTTTCATCATCTAGATGTGGCACATGTCCGTTGAGTTGGTAGGCATGTCTGCTTGTCAGCAACTAATATGACGCTTGAATTTGAATTACAGGTTTATAAATTATAAGATCCGACAATTAGGTAATGGGACTAATTTCATAAAAATTTAAAAAAAAAACAACAGTTGAAGATATAACCAGTATGTTATTCAAAGTAAGCCTCTTGTGCATTGATGCAGCAAGTGGCACGATCTAACACTCACTGGAACGACCTCTGTAGTTCTTCTATTGTTATGGCCCTTAAAGTCAATGTTACAACCCTTCGAATACCATCAACATAGTCGAAAAAGCATCCTTTCAATGGTAACTTTAATTCTGGGAGTAGAAAATAATTACAGAAACACAAGTTTCATCCTCTGCAACAATCAAATTTCATAAATGTTTTTTTTTTTTTTTTACTGTACCATGTTCTGATTTTTTTTTTTTTTTTAACCACTCAAAACGCTGATGTTTTTAGTCAGACAACGAGTGTGGTACGAACACGGCATGCAACTTTTGTCTTGTTAATATCTTTCAATGAAATTTTACGAAAAGTCTCTCTATTAACACTAAATTCATCTGCAACCATCCTCACAGTCAAAAAACGATCTTCTTGTATCCGTTCTGTGACTTTTGCAGTGAGTTTCACATAAAGAACAGAAATTAGGCGTCTAGGTCTGGTTGCAATTTTGTTTGAGTAGTAATGATTTCCACACTTTTTTTGAATCGTGAATACCACCTGAAAATCTGTGCACAAGATAAACAATTATCCCCATAAACCTGTCACATCAATTCAACTATCTAAACGGCGCTTTTTATGAGTTTTAAACACAATTTAATGTCAGCTATTTGCTCCATGCTGATTACGTAACAATGCACATTTGACTAGGTCAACAAAATGGCGGCGTGTTTGTTGCCTGCTTATCGGGCGGCGATAAAATGTTGCCACATACAAGTCGAAGGCTGCCTCTTTGGATTCCATGCTTTGCTTCGTAGATGGCATTTTATGTTGGCCATAGTGAAATCAGTCTTATTACCTAATTGTCGGAGCTTGTATAATGCATAGTGTCTGGTATAAGAAATGAAATGGGCACAGTTTTTCTATTTGCGGTTTGGTTAAGCTGGTAATAGGATACTTAATATAACCAACTACGGTATAACCTTCACTAAATATCTCATGACGAAGCGAATATTTTTAGAGGTGTTTTTGTGAGTGAGAACGGGCGTGCTGAACATGCACTATCTAACTTTGCATCCACAAAAACAAGCCTCGCATTTCGGTGGTTATCAACTATATTTCAGCACTAGGTGTTCTGATTTGGAACTCTCAACCGATACATGATACTCAAAAGCCTGCACAATCGCCCATCGGCTGACAATAATAGTGTGAAATTTCACTCGATGTTTTTTTTACCTGATCAGAACAAGCTACGAAAATGCGTAACAACGCCATGTAGAGGCAACATGGAATATGCACTACGGTTTATGGGATAATCAGCAGTCAAAGTGCAATTCTTGCTGACTGCGAAACTTGTTGACTGCGAAACTTGTTGACTGCGAAACTTGTTAACTGCGAAACTTGTTGACTGCGAAACTTGTTGACTGCGACACTTGTTGACTGCGACACTTGCTGACTGCGACACTTGTTGCTGCGACACTTGTTGACTGCAACACTTGCTGACTGCAACACTTGCTGACTGCGACATTTGCTGACTGCAACACTCTTGCTGACTGCAACACTTGCTGACTGCAACACTCTTGCTGACTGCAACACTCTTGCTGACTGCAACACTTGCTAACTGCGACATTTGTTGACTGTGACACATGTTGACTGCAACACTTGTTGACTGCGACACTTGCTGACTGCAACACTCTTGCTGACTGCAACACTCTTGCTGACTGCAACACTTGCTGACTGCAACACATGCTGACTGCGACACATGTTGACAGCAACACATGTTGACTGTGACACATGTTGACTGCAACACTTGCTGACTGCAACACTTGCTGACTGCGACACTCTTGTTGACTCCAACACTCTTGCTAACTGCAACACTCTTGCTGACTGCAACACTTGCTAACTGCAACACTCTTGCTGACTGCAACAATCTTGCTGATTGCAAAACTCTTGCTGACTGCAACACATGCTGACTGCAACACTTGCTAACTGCAACACTCTTGCTGACTGCAACACTCTTGCTGACTGCAACACTTGCTGACTGCGACATTTGTTGACTGTGACACATGTTGACTGCAATACTTGTTGCCTCCCTAACTTGTGTGGTTTTAAAACAGATACAATCATAGATGGGCAGATGAGACGATTACACATTCTCACTGAAGAATCAATTGCCTGATCAGATCAAGCTAGGAAAATATGTGAAATGTTGTCACCTAAGGGTATATGAAATATGTTGGGATCAGATACGGCGTATCACACTAGGAAACTATAAATAAAATATTTACAGACGTTTATTTTACTAGCGGAAAGCGTGTCTCGTACTTTGATTACCTACATTAAACAACAGTAAAGGTACCGTAATGTAATAAAAGAAATATCTAAATAACAGCTAGTATCAACAGTTAATCAAACAGACACAGAAGATAAAGATGCATTAGGCACATCAAAGGAAAAGCGATAATGAATCACCACAGAAGGATCTGAAACGGAAAGAAATGGATTGATGAATCGAGAATTTGCTCCCCAAAAAAACCTTTATTTAGATGGGACAGTGGCGTTGAGATTGATTACTTTCATGGTAGTGAAACAATTGCACAAGGCAGAACGGACTGGAAGACTAAACTGAAGCCCATGGAGACAAATGTCACCTTTCAACTACTCTCGACTCAGTAAAAAAGATGAGTGCAGCTGTTTTAACCTACACACAAATTAATGCAACATATTATACGAAGCATGACAAAAGAATCACATAAAGACATGTTTCTTTCAACTTAAGGACAAAAACACGAAACGTCCTAGTCATATTTTCTTTTTTTAAATTCAGTTTCGACAGTAACACGTTGACCGTCACAATTGATTTGACTTTTTTTTTTTTTAATAACTTTCTTTGACCATCGCTGCTCCTATTTTAATCTAATATATAACATGTTGATATGAACCTTGCTGCGACATTTGCTGACTGCATGTATTTTGACATTTCTCTATTACAGATGAAATCTCTGAATTTCCTTGTGGCTTTGATGGCTGCAGCCATTGCATCACCAGTTGGGGAATCGAAGGAGCTGAGCAAACGATTTTATCAAGATATCTTGGGCACGGAGAGTAGGCCTGAATACTATCCGATTGCGGCAAGTGCATTCCGTACTCTTGGACACTCTGGTGGTGGAAGGCGTGCTCTTGGTGCTCGTTATTTACCCTATACTCCAGTCAGTTATATTCCTCAAGCTGCCAGAGCTGCAAATGTCCCGAAACTGGCTTACACAATTCCGCAGACTGGAAGACAAGAGCAAGCGTGAGTGTCTTGTGTATTATAATATATAATGTTTTACATATCGGAAGTAGAAAAGAACTGAGTGGAAAAGAACTTTTTAATTCTCTCAAGCCAAAACGTCTGCAAGTTCTAGTGATAACTGCTAAAGACTGCCTGATAAACACCTGCTCATCGAACCACTCGACCATTTGTCACTCCGGCACGTATAGGTAGGCGGATAATGTGCTACCATAGCAAAGATTACCACGATCTCAATCCCTTTTACAATTTACCATAAACTTCATTTCCGATCAGCGCAGCAGAAGTCTGAGGCACAGGAGTCATTACCCGGGCCGGCCTGTCCCTCGAGAATGTCTAGAAAGTTAAACGGTCCGAAATAATTGTCGACAGGGGACTCGAGAATGTCTAGGAAGTTAAAGGGGCCGAAATAATTGTCGACATGGGACTCGACAATGTCTAGGAAGTTAAACGGTCCGAAATAATTGTCGACAGGGGACTCGAGCATGTCTAGGAAGTTAAAGGGGCCGAAATAATTGTCGACATGGGACTCGACAATGTCTAGGAAGTTAAACGGTCCGAAATAATTGTCGACAGGGGACTCGAGAATGTCTAGGAAGTTAAAGGGGCCGAAATAAATGTCGACATGGGACTCGACAATGTCTAGGAAGTTAAACGGTCCGAAATAATTGTCGACAGGGGACTCGACAATGTCTTGGAAGTTAAAGGGGCCGAAATAATTGTCGACAGGGGATTCGACAATGTCTAGGAAGTTAAAGGGGCCGAAATAATTGTCGACAGGGGACTCGACAATGTCTAGGAAGTTAAAGGGGCCGAAATAATTGTCGACAGGGGACTCGAGAATGTCTAGGAAGTTAAAGGGGCCGAAATAATTGTCGACATGGGACTCGAGAATGTCTAGGAAGTTAAACGAGCTGAAATAATTGTCAACAGAAGACTCCTACTGAGGCTCGGTAGGCTCCTGCTATTCATGCTCCCATCATGGAATTATACTGAGTGGTTTTGTTCGTACAGTCTTAAAGATAATATGATCTTGAAAATCAAGTGCCTGATATATCTAATAAACATGAAATAGGATGAAATTCAAGAAAGACATGACATTATTTAAATGTTGAGAGTATCTTCTTTTGTCGTGGATATATTATTTTTTTTTTGCGCTTCTCGGGTGGCTTGAGTGATGGATTTGTTCATCTGTTTGCAGATTTCAGCTTATCATTTATCCATCTCTTTCTTACTTAGTTTTCCTCTCGCCTTTTTTTCCCCAGATTTTTTTCTGTTAATTAAAACAAAATTTAAATATACCGCCTAGTATGGCTGCATTCTCACTAAATGGCTGAACCCTTTCATTCTTTGTTTGTCAAAATAATCCAGACATGGTCTTATTCCAACTTTCTAATGCTGATACTTGTAACCCTGTCTCGTCTGGTGTTGTTACTGACCTTGCGGAGACAGCGAATTTCACATTTAGTTATATTCTAGTATCCTATTTATTGTCTAGGTTTTACACTGATAACAAAGTGGGGATAGGTCGCGAGTATCAAATTTCATTTAAAACAAATAGTTTGACGTATTCCAAACGTGAATAATACACTCGCTTATTAACTACAAGACAATGTGGCCTTAAGATGCTACTGATTTTAAAGCAACGTTGTGTAAAAATCGTTTTGTAATGCCAGGATGCCGGGTTCGATCCCAGCTGCGGGCCATGCGCCTTGCGTTGGTTTCGACAGTGGTATCAAGAAAGCCGACAGTCCAGAAGCAATGGCAAACTACTGGACGTAAATTTGCCTAGAAATATCACATAACATCCAGGGGCTGTTGGGGTTGGTTCTGCAACATCCTGTAAAAGATACGCAACTAACCTATGTAAAAATAAAAATAAAAATCAATTCAACATTTATCCGCCGCTTATAATTTACTTTAAGCATTTGTAAAGCCTCCACAGAAGGCCATGACGTCAGAAGTTTGAACTGTCATTCACATACCGGACATCGAATATGTCAGAGAATGAGACTAGCTTTAACCCTCTAGGAGACTGCCAGAAAAGATCAACAAAATACTACAAAGCAACAGTGATAGAACCTGATATACTAATCACTGAAGTAGTTAAAGTCATTAGGCAGTCGCCCAAATATAAAGTACCGGGAACTAATAGACTACCAACAGAACAAATCCAAGCAGCAGGTGAAAGCAACATTAGATGGCTACATAGAATATTCAATGCGACATGGGTACAACAAGCTGCTCCCATTGAGTGGCTACATGCAATAGTTGTACCATTGTAGAAGAACAAGGGAAGCAAGCAAGAATGCAGTCAATATCGAGGCACCTCTCTTTTGAGTCATGTTGGGAAATAGAAACGAGGCTGCTACCAGTGATAGAAATACAGCTATCAGAAGAATAGATGGGTTTCAGAGGAAATAGAAACTGTACAGATGCAATCTTCACACTTAAAAAGTTATTAGAAAAGAGCATGGAATATGCTCAGAACGTTTGGCAGCATTTGTAGACCAGGAAAAAGCTTTCGACAGGGTCGATAAACAAATATTATGGAAAGTAATGGCTCGATATGGAGTAAGTGAACACGTCACTGAAGTTTGCAAAGCCTATATAGAGATCGTAGAAGCTTAGTTAGAATAAATCAGGGAACATATAAACCATTCAAGATAATCTGGAGTAAGACAGTGATGTTTCTTATAACCACTCCTGTTTATCACCAAAGATGCCAAGCACAGTAATAAAAGTAATAGTAACATCGAAGAAATACTCTTTGCTGATGACCAGTCCTTGATTGCAGATACAGCCATGAATCTACAACAACATCTCACATCCATGAATGAAGAATGTAAATCATAATATGAGAATCAACATCGAAAAGACAGAAGTAATGTCAATAGGAAGACAGAAACATAATTTAAATATAACATTAGAGCATAAATGTATTAACAGGCATCTGAGTTTAAATATTTTAGAACAACATTCACTGACGATTGTAAACTGGACGAATAAAATGACATCCGATACAGTAAAGCAGGGCAAGTATTGGGACAGCTAGCACCCCCCCCCCCCCCAAAGAAAATATTTTCTACAGAATAATCTCAATCTACACAGTGAAACATCTCATAAAGGTATATTCATTCCCAACCTATGCTACCAGTGTCAGACGGGCTCACACACAACAAAACATAAAACGAAAAATAGTCAATAAGGTGTCTGAGAAAGACTGTAGGACCAGAAGAGATAAAATCAGGAATGATGTCATACGAGTTAAAGTCGGCACAGAACCAATTCTGTATTGCATACGATGACAGCAAATCAAATGGTTTGCCTACTTGGAGAGAATGCATTCTGATGCTATACCATACAAGGCACATACCAAAAGAGGAGAGGGACATAGACAAAAGGTAGACGAAGAATAAGATGGGAAGATAACATCAGACAAACTCTACAGCATAACGATATGTCTATGATCGAAGCAGCAAAAAGAACACGAAGCAGGCCCTTACATCTCCCTCAATACTCAAAGCGGTAAACGAATACGTAATGAGAGAGGAGGAATTGACTCTGCAAACTGTAGCGAAGGTCTTGAAAAATGTCATCTCAAATATAGCCCTCAATTCTGGTGCATACTGATATTTTTTTGTAACTGTTTTTAAAGTACTGAACCTTTAGTAGCACGCTAATCTGCACGGGTTAAAAAAAAAAAGAAAAATAACAATTCAGTGTGATAAAAACGCTAAACAATTGATTCTTCACTTTAAAAATTGATTCCGGACTTGTAATTGACAAGGGCAGTGCAATCCGTGTACTTTACCACACACCAAACAGACAAATGCTGAGACTGGCTGAAGCTTTCTTAGTTAAAGTTGTCGATCTTTATAATATTAGAGTATCAAGCAAGATAGCTATGCAGCTATCTTGCACTTGAAGTCATGGGACAACAGTGATCTTTCTGCAATTAAACGAAAACGATGTATTGGGAGAGGCCATTCAGATCCCGTTTCACACAAGAACAACAACAACAGCAAAAGAAATAAAGAAAAAGCCCGACCATGTTTAACCTAAATGTCGAATGATGAATTAAGAATCGACATCATAGCATTTGGAACACTCCCGAAAGCGCTCCGTCTCCATCTTCAGAAGCCATGTTTTGTTTGATTCAGCATTTTTTTTAACTCTCAAACGTCTAAATACATAATATAAAATTGATTGTCCGTCTTATTCATTTTGACTCTTTTTATTTCAGAGATTACAGATATTAAAAAGGCAAATGCGAACATCTGAAATGATTGCTGATAACAGGAGTCTTTTTCGAATAAACATTAGCCGAGTACACTGTGGTCGATAAATAAATAAAAGAAAGAAATCTCTTTGTCTTACGTGTTCCTAATTTTTCACACTTGATTCATTATAACTGGATAATACCTACAGGAGCCATCGGCATCAAGAATTTGGTTCTAATGCTTAGAAATTTACCACTGTTATATTTGTTTAAAGATTTTTTAAAGCTTGTGTTGAGGACCCAAACCTCACAAACTCGAGTGGATCAATCGGAGTTACACTGACTTGCACATGTCTGCAGAATGGAGAAACTCGTCCACCACGGAAGACATGGGATGTCAAGAAACATGGAAATAGAACTCTTGGACGACGCAGGGTTCCCTCGGAAGACAACATCTGACAGTCACTTAGAGAGGATTCGATTCGAGCAAAGCCAAACGAACACTGCTGACAGGGTAGTCTGGCGATATCTCTGGCAAACCTCTACACTAAATGGTAGATGAGGAGCGAGTAGAAGAGAAAAAAAAACGGTTGCAGATACGGCAGCCATCTCTGTCTCCTTGCTCAAAAACTGTGCTGAGGATACGGCAGCCATCTCTGTCTCCTTGCTCAAAAACTGTACTGAGGATACGGCAGCCATCTCTGTCTCCTTGCTCACTGTACCCAGCATGAGCCGACTGGCATAGTCTTTGCCTCGCCGCCAATATTTGCATTCTTGTCCTCTTTAATAACCATTTCCAGCAGACGGATTGTCGTCTCTGAGTTGCTACGATTAACTCAACTCGTGTCTTTGGGTGGCACCCAATTATCAGAGTTTAGGCCGTCTGATTTTGATTGTACCTGTGTCGATACAAATATGTGCCAAGTTCTTCGATCCATATAACTGACATGAAGTAGATATCATCAACATATTCCGTGCCGGTAAGCGTACTCTGTCATGGTATACGATCACCAGAATAACAGATCAAGTGAATGTGTTTGCTTTGTCCCATCCACGGATCCAAGCCATCTGGGTATTTATTTGCTGTTTCCACTTATCTGGCCAGTTGTTAGCAATTCATTGAGTCCGTTTATGCTCATAACCTTTCCAAAAAAACACCGACTGTCTAGGTATAATTGTAATAATAAGTTTACGATTTTTCTCCGCTATGCAGTAATGAAGTGCTATTGTCACGTGGATTTGGACTCCTGGTAATTCCCCCTGGTCTCTGGGAGGTGAGATCGGACGCCAGTGTGCATTGCTGCGCACGTAAAATAATTCCTTGGCAGTTTGAAATCAAAAATAGTAGCCTAACGGCGCTGCCAGGGCAAAAAAGGGAGTTAAAAATATACCCAAAGAATTTCAGGATCCTCGCCGGTGCTACAGAGCCTGCTCATTGTGCTGCGATTTTTCAGGCCTAGACTTGATTTAGAAGAAGAACGGAGTACTTATGGGTTGCTACCTATGTGCCATGATGTTGATCCTTTCTTCAAACATCAAACTTGTCTTCCTGGTCTGCCTCCTTTTCAATTTTTGTGTATGCAGTTGTTGGCTATCTGAGATATGCCATATTCGCTCTCAAAGTCAACTAACACCGCACTTGAGTAAAGGGCCGTCAACTCTTCCTCTACATGATGTAAAATATAAAATGTGGAAAGTAATTGTAAAAATGACAACGATGATGATAATTCCACAAAATAGAAAAGTAACGTATAACCAATCTAAAAACAAAATTTAAATGTCACTGCCCTTGCCTGCCACATTTTGTTGTTGTTGTTGTTGTTGTTGTTGTTGCTACTATTCATCTACACTACTGACATGTGTCTCAGAGATTCAACTGGCCAGACACACATGCGGACTTATCTCAGAGGTGCCCCATTTTAGCAATCCTGTGTATTTCTGTTTGTAATTATGTTCGAAATTTTTACACTGCCTATTTGTCTAATGGATTGATAAAGACTTTCTTACCGCATTCAATGGTCTTTTGTGACTGTACCAACGCGAAGCTTGCTAGTTTTGCTTTTTCGTTTGGTTTGATATGTTCATGTTACATATAGGTACATGCACACATTCAGCTCAGGTACCTCTTACGACACAATAAGTCTTCAAGTGCAAGCATAGCTACATTTATATGTGTAATATGTTATCACGTAGCAGGTCCGTGGCAGAACATCGCTATCGCCACGGTCTGCCTGAAAGAAACTCAGTCTTTCACCAGTTCTCCCGCCTTGTGTACTTTCATATTCCAGCAGTCACTTATATCCTCTGCCTACCTTTCGTGTTGGACAGCTCCTGTCCCACTTCCTGGTACCATGTTTTCTGCTATTAATTTTTCACATCCGCCATGGTGCTTGATATGACGAAAATATTTCAGCTTCCGAGACAAAATTTTGTTCATTAGCTAATCTTCCTTGATATTAGGATCTTTTAAAATATCAGTGTTGCTCACTTTCTTTGTCCATTGTATTCATGGAATATTTTTATAGCATTTTAGCTTAAAAGCCCCTATTTTTTTCCTTAAAGACTTGGAGATAGCCCACGACTCAGATCCGTTTGTTGCTACAGGGAAGATGCAGGATCTCACAGTTTTAATTTTGATTTCCTTGCTGGTGCTTAACCATAGACCAATATTTACATTGCTATGGCCATCCTTGTTTTGATATATGTCGAACAGTCTTCACTGCTATTAATTATTGAGCCTAGATATTCAAAGTTTGTTACATTTTCAATTCCACTATCATTTATCGCTATTTCTGGGTGACAGCCAGTTTTATCTGTGGACATTTTTTCGATTTCTTTAAATTTGAAGATAGGATTTAATCTACAGAGGCTTACACAGTAAGGGTATTTGCCGTCGAAGTGGGAGCGAGAGGCCTCGTTTCCACTTCGCTCTACAATGTGGTGAAAGAATTAGGATTGCGCGGTAATGAACGGAAACGAGCACTCAAAAAACTGGGAGAGGCAGCCGAAAGGGCCTCTAGCTGGCTGTGGACGCAGCGCAACAACGTAGGGGACGGGCCTCGGTGAGCTGGTCCGGGTGTCTAGCGGAAAGGAGTTTCTCATCCCTTTGAAAGTCCATCGTGTACGAATTGTCTGCCAGTGTCCCTCTGCCAACTGCTAATAAAAGTCTAACATGTGTCCGGTAAACCAAAGTAAGCTTGTCGCTCGGTCGTCCAGGCATGCGGACTGTTCTAATTACGCTGCCGCGGCGACTTCTTATCTCACAGTACCTCCTTCGAAACCACTAAGTCGTCTTGTCTCTGGCCGAAATAATAACACCATCCGGTAATTCTGTGCAGCGGGGAAGCAGCCCTGAGCTTCATGAACTCAGGTGGGCCCACCTCCGAATAAGTTTAGGAATCGTGGGCCGAAACGTGTGTCGAAAGAGGATAATTTCTACTGATGACTGTAGATCCCCGCTGTACTTGCTCCCTGTGAGTTTATTCTTATCTTATTACAGTGTGTTTCTGGAAAGCCATGATTAAATGTTATATCCATTTACACTGTTCGAAAGGAGAACTGTGTCATCTGCATAGCGAAGTTACGGAACAGGGTTGCCACCACTAACGAGAGGTTCATAACTGTCACAAGTCTGGTCAATTTTGACATTCCTCGTTTTATTTATATTATCAATATACTCTAATAATATAAAACAAAGACGAATCTATGGCATTTGAAACTACTAGATCTTCCATTTCCTCAAATTTATATACAATTCTAACATTCATTCTCCGAAATACATTGTTATAAATAGACTCTAATTATAGTAGTTTTAATAAACCAGTTTTTAGAAATATGCACTGAGATGTCATGTTGCTCTTTGGAAGCAAGTCTCGGATCACCATATGTTAGTGTACCTGTCAGTTACATTAACTATACAGATTTCATAAACAATGAGAATACGCATGGGTAAACCATATTTAAAATAGTGAGAAGAACTAATTCAATGGGAGATGCAGCACTGGAGATTGAGGTAACCGCAGTCTGGGATTATTATTACCAGAAGGTAATAATTATAAGAAATAAATTTTAAAAACATGTTTGTTTTTTTCTTCAGTTGCTAGGTGATATCAGACGGGGGAAACAACACATCAATATATATTTTTAATTGCTAGTTGTCATTATATGTAATTTGTCAAGTTACAATACATATGTCGGCGCCTGTGGCTTAGGCGTTGCGAACGCGCTTCGTAATGCCGGGATGCCGGGCTCGATCCAAGCTACGGGTCTTTTGTCTTGCGATGGTTTCGACAGTGGTACCTAGAGTTGACCGTGCAGACAGCAATGGCAAACTACTGAACGTAAAATTTTCCTAGTAAAATTACAACAGTAAAAAAAATGCTGGGGTTGGTTCTGCTATGTCCTGTAAAGGATACGCAAGTAACTTTAACATTACGTATGTAAACTGCAAGGTTACCTTATCATATGTAAACGGCTAGTTTGATTATTCGACAGAAACAAATCTCAAACAACATACAACGCTAATTAACAACATGCAGATTCGTCATTAACTCCGGGTACATCCAGAAATAGGCATTTCTTAGCTTAAATTAACCAAAAGTTCAATTTCCTGTCTTGTGCTCAAAAAATTGAATGTCAGCTGTTCAATTGTGGCGCGCTTTGTTGGTTGACGGTTAAATTATGCATGGGCTCTAGGGTTATTTGTTAAATCATTAGTGGTGTGTTCCGGTTTGAATCAGTACGCCATATTATTTTTTTTTTCCTTTCTTGTGTGACATAACAGGAATTAAACAACAGTACTAGTCATACATCAGTAACATAATAGCAGTTACATTTCATATCATTTTCACTGGAACAGGAACGGGGCTAGTATGAAGTGACCCGACAGCAGAGATATTGAAACCTCGACTTAGACTACAAAACTACGTCTAAGTTACATAACAGTGAGGTTTAAACAACGGATCAACATCATGGCACACGGGTAGTAACCAATAAGTGCTCTGTTCTTCCTCTAACTAAGTCTGAGTCCAAAGTAGGTTG